GAGAAGATCAAAGCTTGAACGCAATCTTCACCAGCTTGATCACATTCTTATTTACAACTAAGTTCCAAAAAATGAATCACGTTGTCGGGGCAAGAACCCTGACAAGGGTATTTGCCGGTGTTTTTGAACGTCGGGCGTTGTCCGACTCTTGTGTTGAATTGAAGGACTTGATGAGACTGACATTTGCCAAAACGTTTATTCAGACCTGACCTATGACTGAAAAACTAAGAGTTTTCAAACTTTAGTCCGGACGCATGTGACGTCCGGAGGTATCGGGTGTGAATGACAAAGGCTACGTTTTTGTCGAAGCCGCAGGAACGTGCAGATAGAGAAATGCTAAAATTAAACCTATTTTATCTATAATAATGTCAGTCGCGCGATTCAGGGCTTAAGTGGGCTAAAAAGAGGGTTACGCGGGGTATAGGGCCGCGGCGCAGGCCGCGGGTTTTGACGTCGAGCCTTGGGAACGATAGGCCAATGCCAAGACTTACCCGGTTCGATGGCCGCCCCAGCCGCGGCCACACGGCTAACCGGTATGGGTAGGCCACGGGCAGGTAAGCCGGCAGGCCACAGGCAGGGCAGCCCTGCTAAGCCACAGTTGGGGCAGGCCTGCTAGGCGACACACGGGCGGAGCCTGCAAAGCCGCAGGCAGGGATGTTACCTGGGCTAAGCTCTTCATATTGAAGAGCAACTCCTGTTTAGTGGGAAACAGGAGCTAGCCCAGTAGGATAATGCACTCAACTGTCACCCGACAGATACCGGGATCGAATCTGAGAAACGGTATAAACCATTGGGCTAGCTCCTTTTGGAGCTGGCCGTGGTTATTTTCATGCCGGCGCGATCTGATCTGGCCGTCCGATCGAAGAGATCGCGCCACCCAGATCAGGCGCGCGAGGTTAGCATGGCCCCTGCGCAACAGTAACACGCATAAATCGAAAAAAAAAAAAAAAAAAAAGCGCCACATGGCGCCTGAAGATGTGCCCAAGGGCACATAGCTGTAACCGTTGGCTTATGCCAACGGTTTTTCTTTATTACGAGTAAAAAAA